TACTGGTCAAGCTTGTACAAGACTGAAAAACCACAGTATGTCAGCGCCTTGTTGATGGCAATTAACACCAATTCTGTCGCGAAAATAACGCTGAAAAGTCTGTGCGTGATTGAAAAGATATCAGCAAATCGAACGGCATAAAGGAATAACGGAATTAGGTAGTTCAAGAAGGCGATTGAGACGGATGGATTGGCGTAGAAGTTGTATGCTGTTACTTCTTTTGCAGCAGTTGGAACAGGGGTAGACATTGCTTCAAAATCAGTTACCAAAGCGACGGACTTGTACGAACTACCAAAAATAAAATCCAATTCAGTTGACCATATTGCTTCTGTAAAATATAATTGAAAGGATGTTGTTAATAGACGTATTTGTTTGAAAATGTACTATATACCATATTTGCTCTATTAGAAGTACACCATCTCCTATAGATGTCCTTCATTGTGTCTGTCAGCAAAAAAAAGTTGTTTTGGTGTGATTTTTAGTACGCCAAGCTTTCAGGGATCCATTAATGCAAGTTCTAATAGAGCAAATGTGGATTATTCACTAATATACAAAATACAAAAAGCAAACCATGAAAACAAAAATAAAATTATTTATACTATTCCCACTATCACCATCTACATATAATCATACAAGGAATGAACCAATCAGTTGATTGATTGATTATTTCCATGGCAACATAACACCCAATAATTTATTTTGAGTTTTTGTTCTGTATTTTTACTACTTTAGTGAACCATAATAATTTTGTACATATTTTTTTTTTAAATTCAGATTATGATCTGTTCAAAGACAAATTATCCTTATCTGGTCAATAAAATCATGAATAAATTATAGAAATACATAGAAATGTGCAATATGTAGCACCAACATTTCGGCGGGAAAATGATGAAGTTCAACAGATTAAATGCTATGTGGAAATCAAATCTTTGTTTCCACAGAAACTTGTGCAGTTACCAACTCTGTTTACTTGCATTATCAACAACTGATGTTCCACTGTTAAAGTACTCTGTGGGATGTCATGTCTATTTACTTACTATGTACAGTCACACTTTTAGACTACTAGTATTAGTTGCCTAGCAACCATTTCCAGTTCCTGCTATGGGGGAGGTATGAGTATTTTTTAACAGGAATAATGCTAGACCTATTGACTGCAATACAATACATTAGCTGGTACTAAGAAAACACCTTTGGAGGATGTGTTTGAGTCATCAATTATGCCGCTATTATGCCGCTAATATACTTGTGTGAAATGATATTGTTGTGTGCAGTCATACTAAATTATCAGTATCCTTGGAAATTTCAAGGTTTTTTTCTCCCTAAAGTCCAACATGGCCACTAAAGATGACTATACTTTTGAGAACGTGAGAAAAAAACAAAGAAGGAAATCTCAAATTTACAATACAAATAGTTTGACTGAAAAATTAGTCATAGTTTTCAATAATAGGATGGTAACTTTATTTAATTTTAGTGCCAACACAACCCCAAAGGGTGGTAGTTATCTAAAATGCTAATGATGACATACAGCTCCAAAGATAGTAAATTCCCAACTTTAGTTTTAGTTTTTTCAGAATTTTATAGAAATTTTTTTTTTTTTTAAATCAAAATATGGAAACAATTGATGAAAATTTTTAAACTCACCCCCACCACCACTACCGCCAAAAAAAAATATTTCACAAATCAATTTTTGAAAACAAATTGACCAAAATATTTTTATATTTTTTCATCGGGCAGTAGAATGAAATTTTACTGGATTAGAAATTGTAAATTTAGAATTAGTGAAAACACAAGGTAGTTTTGAATAACTAGATAAAAAGGTGTTATTACAGTAAATTTTTTGTAAACCTAAAGTTATACTTTTAACATGTTTGAGTTGTCTGCCAACAATAGCACATAATACTTTGAAATGATTTCCTTTCTCAAGGTAATTATTGTAATTTGATAACTTTGTTAGTTGTCACATTCAGGAAATCTTCTCATATGACTGATCACATCCTTTTATTAAATGATGCCTAACGAAAATCAGCATGTTTTGCAATTTGATTACCATGTAGTCTTTCTTGGCACACCCAAAAATCTAGCATCTTTTTTATTATCTCATGTTTGCTGATATTTCAAACTCATTTTTTGCAGTCAATTTTGCAATATTAATTTAAGTCTATCAAACAGCATGTTGATATAAAGTGATAATAGCAGAAAAAATATGCAAAATATTTTCTTTCCTTCTCTTAGTTTTGAGCAAATTCTGCCACCCCCCTGTTTCTAATGGTCTG